ACCTACTAAGTGTATTCTCTAATAAAAAAATATTAAACTTAAATATTTTTCATAATATTTTGTTATTACACACTATAATATTGAAATATAATTATAACCTTTTAATTAATAATTAATAACTAATAATAATAATAATTAATACAAAATCTATGAGAATTATTATATATTTGATAGATATAGATCACTTAGTTGGCTTATAAATTAAAGGTTAAATGACTAATTGCATAACATGAGTTAGAATACCAAATTAATAGAAGGAATGAAGTTATTTATATTTATTTAGTGTGTTTATTGGATATTTATATTGAAAAGTAATTAGAAGCATCTGTGGTATGGTCGATTTGAGTTGGGAAGCGGGTTGGTATTGGATAATGGTTAGGGGTGGCCATATTACGGTTTCGGGAACCGGAACCGTCGGTTCGAACTGGTCCGGAACCGTAACCTGAACCGTGAGAACCAGAACCGGAACTGAAAAATTTCTGGTTCGGTTTCGATTCCAAATTTCTAGAGCCGAAACCGGCGGTTCCAGAGAACCGGTTGGAACCGGACTGGAACCGCCGGTTCCCCGACCGGTTAGAACCACCGGTTCGAACCGGTGGTTCTACACCGGAAACTGAAAATTTCTGGTTCGGTTTCGATTCCAAATTTCTAGCCGAAACCGGGCGGTTCCAGAGAACCGGTTGGAACGGACTGGAACCGCCGGTTCCCCGACCGGTTAGAACCACCGGTTCGAAATCTTGGATTCTTCTAGGCCTTATAAAACTGTCAGACCAGTTTTTTTTTTTTTTAAATTTGTTGTGAAACTCTTAATACCCCTCCCAACATCCAATAAACGGCTACATAACGGCTAAGTTTCAAAAGGTATTTTTGGAAATTGAACTTTGGATTTTTATAAATACCTCATTTTATTACAAAATTCATTTACAAAAAAATCTCAAACTTCTCTCTACTTACTCTCTCTACAATATACTACACTCTACTCATATTATTCATTTATTCTTCTCTTACTCTCAATCTCTCTTATTAGTTATATTTCTTCTAATTTTTTTTTATTCAATTTTCCAATTATTCGTATTTCATTATAATGGCAAGTGGAGAAACTCAAATTCGGGGTAAGGGCAAGGGAAAGATTGTAGAAAACACAATATTTCATCTATCCCTACATAACGACATCTTTGATTTCACTCCCAACCAATTTAATTTTGAGGGATATCTAAATGAAAATTTGGAAATTCTAACTCAAGAATCTGAATTTAATAATGAGCAATTAGAAGAAGAGGAAGAGCAAGAGCAAGAGCAACGTGCACAAATTATTGGAAGAGCAAGACAAAATTCTGACATATTCGCCATTCATTTCACGAAAAAATTCAAAGTGAGAAAATGTTTGATGTAATTTGCAATTATTGTAGAAAATCTTATAAATTTAAATAATCAGGCGGCTATGAATCATTTTGGAAGCATTTGAAGACAAAACATCCAACAAAAATAGGAGTTGATCGGTCTCAAACACAAATTTTCGGGTACGCATCTTCTAACCTGCATCTTCTAACCTTTCTTTATTTCAATATTCTGAACAAAATACAAAAAGAAAGAATTAGCAAAAATGATTCATATGGAACATTTATTCTTTTTAGTTTTGGTTGAAAAAAGTAGGTTTTAATAATTATTGTCCAAAAACCCTTAAATCCTCTGCTAAAAAGTACCAAGAAATACTGTTAAAACGAACTATTATTTCTTTATATATAAGGAAAAAAAGAGTGAGAGCTTTTATTTTCTCAAATTGAAAATTCGTGTTTTCAATTTGTTGTTGTGATATTTGGAATGATCATTAACAATGCATTCTTATTATGGTATTACATATCATTGGATTGATGATGATTGGAAAATTTCAAAAAAAAAAATTATTGCTTTTCGTGTTTTGATGGACAAACTACTGCAAATAATATTTATAGAATAATTGTTTCCAATTTTAGATGAATATAAGTTGACAAAAAAAAATTTTTTTCAATTTCAGTTGATAAACGCCTCTGCAATACTAAATCAATTATTGAACTTAAAAATAATTATTGAACTTAAAAATATTTGTGAACCAAATATTGGTGGAAAATTTTTTCATATAAGATGTGCATGCCATGTTTTAAATTTATGTGTACAATATGGTTTAAAAATCCTTGAATCTTTTATTTCTCCAATTAAAAAAGCTATTTCATATTTATGGGGACATCTCCAAGAGATGAAAAGTTTGGCTAAATTTTGTAAAGAAAATAATAAAAGACCAAAACGTTTTCCAAGGGATGTCCCAGCTCGTTGGAATTCAACAAATGAATTACTAAACGAGTTTTTTTCTTATAAAGAATTATTATGCTTTTTTGTTACTAATAATATTGAGGATATTAATTTATATCCACAAAATTGGAAATTTTAGATATTTTAAAAATTTTTTAATGATGCTACCTATTAAATTTAGTGGGGTTTAAATCCCAGCATTCATTTATTTTTACCTCTATGTGTATTAATATGTTAGTGCACTCCAAGAATTTGAAATGATAATTTATTAAAAGATTGTATTTTTTTTCAATGAAAAAAAAAATGGTTATCTTATGTTTAAAAATATAGCCATCCCCTTTATCTTTTTGCTATTGTATTGATCCTAGATGTAAAATTGAGTTTTATGTGATTATTTTGGACTATTTATTATAAGTATTAAATCTTTATGTAGGAAAGAATCCCAATGTTAATATAAATGTTAGTAAGCATGAAGTTAACCAAAATATTATGCCAATTTATATAATGAATTTGTTCAAGTTTCTAGTTCATCATTTGTTCAATATTCTAGTTTATCTACTTCTTCTACAATCTAATATTCAACAATTTCCAACACAAAGGGTAAGTGGTGTTGGTGTTGCTCAGCAAGTTTTACTACAAAGACAAAAAAGAACAAGGGAATTCAGTTCTATTTCTGAATTTAATAATTATCTAACAACTTCTTTTGAGTTTGGTGATGATTATGCAGATATTGATTTTCCAATTTTAGATTGGTGGAGTCGTCACGCAAATACTTTTCCAATTCTTTCTTTACTTATAAAATAAATTTTAGCAGCTCCGGTCTCCACTGTTGCGGTTGAACAAGCTTTTAGTCAAGGAGGAAACATACTTAATAAAACACGATCTCGTATGACACCCGATTCCAATTCACTAGAAGAACAATCATGCATGGATGATTGGAGCTGTAACATCCTCTTGAGTTGAGTTGGGTTAAACCAAACCTGATTTGGATTGAATGAGAGTAAGTGGACTTATTTGCATGACAAGTTTAGGACCTGCTTGCATGAGGACATACAGCTTGGGTATTTAGTTGTAACCATTAATAATTGAGGTGGGCTTGATTCCTTCTAAACCCCAAGAATCGTAGGCAACTTAATTTTTTTTTTTTAAAAAAAAAAAGTTCAAGCCCCTTTTTTTAAAAAAAAATTATGTTCAAACTTTTAAACAAAAATAAATTTCAGTTGAAAATTTTTTTTTAAAAAAATAATTAGTGTCAAGTCTTTAAAAAAATTAAATTTAATTTGGGGAAAGTTTATTTTTTTTTAATTTTTTAGGGTATTTTTTAAATTTTTTATGTTCAAATAATTTTTTTTAAACCGGTCTTCCAAAAATTTTTATGTTCAAATAATTTTTTTTAAACCGGTCTTCAAAATTTAAAATTTAAAATTATGCAATTCGCTGGAAAACCGATCGGAACCGTCGGTTTTGTCATCGGACCGGAACCGAAACCGGATGGTTCCAAACCGAAACCGAAACCGGACCTTTTCGGTTCGATTCCGGTTCTAGTTTTTCTGGAACCGGAACCGTGGCCACCCCTAATAATGGTTATGATGGATGAGACATTGTAATTAATTAGCCCGATGGATGGGCCAAGTGCTTCTGTATGTTAAACCACTCCGACCAATATTTTTTAGTGCACATAAAATATTTTTAACACTTCTATAACCCATGCGCAACCTCAACTACATTTTTAAAATATTCATCCAATACAATCTCATCAAACTCTTCAATCATTCAACTCAAGATCATAATTTTCATCACATGAATAAAATATGAATTCATTTAATTAAAAACAGTCAAAATATTCTCACAGGCCATAGAAAAATAATACTGGTGTTTTAAAATACTGTTTACAAAATATTCTGACTCAAATAAAAATATATAGGATTTTGATTATATTTACATGCTACTAGAAATATTCTGAAATCTAAAAGAAAAGAAATTTGATAATAATTGACTATATAAATATATGGACCTTTGATAAGTCTGATGCTTTATGTGTACCGCCTCTCCAATTATCAGCAACATGAGCCGTGACAAGTCAACGCGCTAAGGATAAAGTTTAGTGGTGCTTATTTCCCTATTTAAAATAGGGAAATATACATAAACATTCATAATATCACATACTATCATAACACAATCTTTTATCATAATCAGACAATATTCAACATTTATAACATAATTCAATCGCTTAAATAAATATTCAGCATATAATATAAAATCCAATATTTAATCATCATAACTCAATAGCATAAAAACATACTTAATCACAGTTTCACATAATTCAACGTATTTCTATAAGAACACTATATTTAATTATTTAATTATTTAATAAAAACTATATTATTTTTCGTAATTTGAAAGTAACTTATTTATTAAGAAGTATAATTTTTAAGGAAGTAATTTATCTAGAAGTTTACTTTCAAAAAAGTAATTTTATAGAGGCTCCAAAAGTGAGTCATCTTTCTAATGATTTGTGGACACTTAATGACTTTAATACCATAAACCAAACTAAATTTTCTATTTTTTATATTTTTCAAATGAAATTGAGTTACTAGCTTCAAAATTATGATTTTCGATGGGTTTAGGCTGTTTATGGTGGTTCAATAACATCCTGAGCTTGAACAATGAAAACCTCTCTTGATCTGATCCAACTAATTAAGACCCATGGCCCATTTCCAAGTTGATCCCTCTCTCCGCCAGCCGCCAAGGTAAATAGCAAAATATTTAGGGCAAGCAAGTGGAAGTGCCTGCGTTTCCAGCAAAAGAGAGCTCGCATGATATTGTCTTGTTCTGCAGCAGCATCCTGGGATACTCGTCTCTGCTGACTCGCTGCCCAGATTCAAATCATTCAGTCAAACTCGCTTCGCTTTCATGGGTCTCTTCATTTCTTCGCTTAGACATCTCTATCGGTAACGGGTCACTCTCAATTCGTCACAATCCCACTCTCAATAAGGTATGCACTTTCTTCTTCAATGTCTCAGTCCCGTTTTGTGCTTGTATAACTTGCCTAAACTGAAATTCTATTTCTCTTGGATTGGTTCTAAATGAAATTATTTTAATTTTTAATGTTGTTTCTTTACTGCTGCCCATTTTTCCTGGGAACCAAACATGGAGCTGTTTGTATTTGTCTTTTCAAGGCCTCATTTCTTGCCCCCTTGCTTTGTACTTTGTTAAAGAGTGATCATTATCTGCTTGCTTTTGAAGTTTTATTATCAGTCTGTTTGTTTCTATTGAAATTGTATTATAGAATGTAAAAAAAGTAATAAATTGTATGGAAGTGTTAAATTTAGATCTAAGGCCTTGCAATGTATCTGTCGGGAGCTTGATGTGGGTAGATAAAGCCTTACGTTTTTTTCACCTAGCAACTAGCTTTTAGAGGGATGAGTTCTCCAAAGACATTAGTGTTGTAAACATGCTATATTGCTTTTATACTCAAAGAGTTGAAAGAGAAACTCCCGTTAGGATCACAAAACGTGGTGGGATTGTTTGAATTTGCCTTTGGATTGAAGAAATTTTAAATATTCATATTTGATTTGATGCCTTGTGGTTATGTTTGGTTGATTAAATACATGACTAAGGTTAGCTTTATAATATGAGCATGTATTTGGTAATTACATGCATAAAATCTTATTTTTTAGTGTTCATTTGAAGTTATCTCTAGAAAAGGGGTAATCTTTAGATTTATTTAATTTAAGTTTTCAAAGGCCTTTATGAAACTAAACTTTATTCATGAATTTAATCAATTGCATGACTAACTTTTGGTCGAGCAATTAAAAAAAAAAAAAAAATTTATCCGAATGCGACATTTGAAAGTACTGGATCCAGACATATTATAACATTTTTTTGAAAGAAGAATTTGCTGATTATTGTATAGAGCTAAAGGAAATGGGATTTCACTTTTTGATTTTGGCCTACATGGTCGAAGATTCAAAATCTGCACTTATTAGGGTCCAATGCGCTCTTTGTGAATAGATATTATCAACATATTCTTTCTGTTGGATTAAATACTACTGAAATCTCACTTGAAATCCTCCTTCAATCATATGCAACACATTTGGTAGCAAAGAATGTACCTTTTTCTTTTCTCCTCTCTAACCTCCTTTATTGTTGTGGGTAAAAAGAAATATAGAGATTTTGCTTTGACTTGAGGAAGCCCAGTCCCCATTTATTGGTTTTTAGAAGATAGTTGATTAAAATATCAGATGAAATGGTTAATTTTACAGAAGTTCTGGTGCATGAAATTGCTTAGGTAGATTCTTGATGGTGGGGATTCTGGAGGGGAAACTTTATGCTACTATGTTAGTTAACTTATATATAAATATCACTATCCTGTTTTATATAGATGAAAGCAAATATTAATGTCCTTTATCTAGCTGAGTCTTAATAACACCAGAACTTGTAGATGCTCGATGACATCGAAAACACTATTGATTCAGTAAACAATTTATAAGCTTCCACTGTCTCATCCATAGTCTTATAGGTTTTGTACATATTATGGCTGGCAACTAGAACAAGTCTTGAGCATTCTTGCCACGATCCATATATCTCAGGCTCAATTCCATGAAAAACTAAATAAAACTTTGATTTATGTCTGTTGCAATAAGAATTCATTATAGCAACTAAGATAGATATTGAAAATACAGAGAGCAGCAGCGAGTGCTAAACAACTGCTACAAAAAAGAAGAAAAAGAAGAAGCTTTTATACATTTAAACTGAAAAATAATGGGCTTAGTTAATCCCTTTCAAAAAAAAAAAAAAAAAAAAAAAATCCCTTTCAAAAAAAAAAAAAAAAAAAAAAAAAAAAAACAATTATCGTAGTATTCATTAATCGATGAGTCAAATAAATAAATAAAAAGTAATGCTTTATATGTTCATTGATATTTACACCCATTTAATGCTTTGTCTAGGGTTATTAAATGATTAAAAAGAAAAAATTGAATTTTAATTTTCATTCTATTCCTACCCACCAAAATCTACCAATTTTAAGTAAGGATAAAACCGATACTACACATAGTAAAATATAGGCAAAATAGACAATTTGACTGCCATGATCCTGGATCGCCATGAGCCAAGAACCATTACCGATAATAATATTTGCTTGGTACAAAGATCATTACTATAATGTATTTTGTTGCCAATAGGTTTTAATGAAATCTTGCATTTCAGTTTAAAAGAAAAAAATTATTATAAATTGGGGACATGAGAATTTGTTTTTTCTTTTGTCAGCCATAAAATATTATATATGCAGCCAGCTAAACTTTCTCATTCTTCTTCTTATCGACAGAGAAATGGAAGAATCGATGGAAAATGAAAGGCCAAGGCCACTTTCTCCCCACTTTCTTCAAGATATAGACCGTTTTCTGTGATTACTGTGGAATTTGTCGATTCTAAGGAAATCTTTCTTATCACTTCTCACATGGAAATTTCACCACAAGGTTTCTTTCATTCTCTCTTATTTTTCTTTTTATTTTTCGAAGTCTGCATTTGGTTTTTCTGTACAAAGATCATTACTATAATGTATTTTGTTGCCAATAGGTTTTAATGAAATCTTGCATTTCAGTTTAAAAGAAAAAAATTATTATAAATTGGGGACATGAGAATTTGTTTTTTCTTTTGTCAGCCATAAAATATTATATATGCAGCCAGCTAAACTTTCTCATTCTTCTTCTTATCGACAGAGAAATGGAAGAATCGATGGAAAATGAAAGGCCAAGGCCACTTTCTCAAGATATTAGACGTTATTTCTGTGATTACTGTGGAATTTGTCGATCTAAGAAATCTCTTATCACTTCTCACATGGAAATTCACCACAAGGTTCTTTCATCTCTCTTATTTTCTTTTATTTTCGAGTCTGCATTGGTTTTTCTATTAAAAAGTGAATCTGGATCTGGATTTTTGGTAAAATGTTTCTTCAGATCATTGGGTATCGTGATTTAAGGTTTTTATTGTGTCCTGTGCTTCGATTTGAAATAATTTTTCTTATTGTTTTTATGCTTTTTCAGGAGCAGATGAAGGAGGAAAAAGATAAAAATGAAGAAACTGAGGGTATTAAGTCTAATACTTGCGAAGAATGTGGTGCCAGTTTCAAGAAACCTGCATATCTTAAACAACATATGCAAAGTCATTCCATTGTGGTATGTATCATGGCCGTTAAGTTATTTTCGTTGCTTGTTTTGCTTTGTGTTGATTGTACTGCTTTAGCTGTTGGTTGCATATTCACCGTTTCCTGAGTTGAAAAGCTTTTGATTTACTATATTATCCATTGATTTTTTGAGTTTATCTTGTCCTGTACAATATTGTTCTCAAGTCTCTGCTCTATTGTCCTCTGGAGTTTTGCATTCTCTTCCCATATGGGATTTGATGTAATTGCATTGTTTTTAGCATATGCAGCTATCTTGCATGATAATTTTGTTTTTTCTAATGAAATGAAAAGCACCTGATGTAATGGAGTGAAGCATTGGATCCCACACAAAGAACTCCAAAATGCAAGAGGCTGCAATTTTAGACTTGAATGGACTAGTATCAGGTTGGGAGACCTCCTGAGAAGCTCCTTCAAGTGAGCCTCAGTCACGCGCTGGTTGAATGAGGTTTGAGGGCTTCTTTATTCAGGTAACACGTTGGTGGTTTAATTATGCATATAGTTCCCATTATTGATGTCTTATTTCTGATTTTGTAGAGGCCATATGTGTGCTTGGTTGACGATTGCCATGCCAGCTACAGAAGGAAGGACCACTTAACTCGCCACCTTCTTAAGCATGAAGGAAGGCTTTTTAAGTGTCCTATTGAGAATTGTGACCGTCAGTTTGTTTTCCAAGGCAATGTGAAAAGGCATGTTAATGAGTTTCATAGTCAGAAGTCCCCCTCAACCGATGTTGGTGAGAAGAAGTATGTTTGCCAAGAATCCGGGTGTGGAAAGGTGTTCAGATATTTGTCAAAGCTGCAAAAACATGAGGATTCTCATGGTAAGGTTCTTCCCTGTCCAATCTGTTTCTCCCACCTTTTTGAAAGATCAACTTTCAGACCTCTTTTTGTAATTAGGTGGATATATACAAGGTACTTGTGTGAATGTTTCTGTGTATTTGTCCAATTAGAATATTTTTTCTCAAAATAAGAATATTGTATGCTTGGTTTGGAGTTTTAGCTATTTATTAATTGGAATTTGATCACTATCCGGTATTCACTAATAAATGTCTTTACTGCTGCAGTTAAATTGGATTCGGTGGAGGCAATTTGTGCAGAACCAGGCTGTATGAAGCATTTTTCCGATGTTCAATGCCTTCAGGCACACGTCCAATCATGCCACACATACATGACTTGTGAGATTTGTGGGACAAAGCAGTTGAAAAAGAACTTAAAGAGACATCTACGCACCCATGAATCAGGTGGTGGTTCCATGGAGAGAATTAAATGTCATTTCGAGGGTTGTCGCAATGCATTTTCTAATGTGAGATTGCATTCTCAAATTCTTTTTTTTTTTTTTTTCTCCATTATCAGTGGTGTTAATCCTGCTATAATCATGCGCTTATTTTCTCTCATTTTCTTCCTATATGCAGAAAACAAATCTTAATCAGCATGTGAAGGCTGCTCATCTTGAAGTCAGACGTTTCACCTGTGGGGTTCCAGGTTGTGATATGAGATTTGCATACAAACATGTCAGAGATAGACACGAAAAATCTGCTTGTCATGTCTACACTGCTGTAAGTTTTATCTTCAGGCCTTCCAATGAAAAGCAACGTCTGTTAATCTGCAAACCTTCTTGACATTGTTTGAAAGCGGACTAAATTTGTTCTTAATTGGCTTGGGTTTCAGGGTGATTTTGAAGATTTTGATGACCAATTCAGGTCAAGGCCACGAGGTGGGAGGAAGAGGGAGTGCCCAACTGTGGATATACTTTTGCGCAAGAGGGTTCTTCCACCTTCTGATTTGGACGAGTGCTGCTCTTGGTTTCAGTCAATAGGGAGTCAGGAGCAGTTGTGAATATAACTCTATTTCTTTATTAGTAATTCAGTTAAGGCCATGAGGTGGTCTAGGAAGAGGAAATGCCCAGTTATGAAAATGCTAATATGCAAGATGGTTACTCTGCTTTCTGATTTGGATGAGTGCAACTCTTGGTTTCAGTCAGATTGTGAAAGCAACTGCAACTCCTTCCCTATGGTAGGTACGAAGGATATTTTCATGAAGTTCCTAAGGATTCCATAAAGTTTTATGGAATTTATTTACACAGCAGGTCTCGATGGAATTCACTCGACTATTCTGAAGTTAGCTCCATATACGAAGTGTACAATTCGTCCAATATATCCTACAATTGTTGTGCTCCTAGAAGAACTATGGCTATGGCCGATTTCCAAGTTGAAAGCATCTTCGGCAAGCTGCCGACTATAATACTTTATATGGCAAAAGCATCTTCGGCAAGGCTGCCGACATATAATACTTTATTATATAATATATTATATATAATATATATAATATAATATATATTTTTTTTTTGTTCGTGTTTTCTATTGATTTAGTATATACTTAATAAAATTATTTTTTTTGTTCGTGTTTTCTATTGATTAGTATATACTTAATAATTAATTTTGAATTAACACATAGATGCACAGTGATTAATTTATCATAATTATTTCTTTACTTTGTATTATCTTATAATTACAATTTTTTGTCCTTATATAATTTGAAATAAAATTGAAAATTTGGAGAATTTAAATTAGTTTTATAATATAGTGACTTTGGAAATAAAACATGTAGTTTAAAATTTTAAAATTAAGAAAATGCTATACATATTAAAATGTCAAGCATAAAAACATAATAAAAAAAATTCATAATTTTTGTAAGAAATTTACAATTTAAACATGGGTTTCTTACGGCTCCCCGCTAAATCTCTTCCCTCGGTTATAATTTAAAACCCTAACATATCCAAAAAAATTTTTCAAAAATCTGCAGAGCAAACAATCAACCATGAAGGAAAAGACGGTTACGTGTCAAATCATCCACATCCGTGACAGGCCACCGATACCTCCTAACCAACAGCCCACTGGTCAGATTATCATAAGCCAAATTTGCTCTCCTTTACTTCTTCAACCGCGCGCGGATATAAATACCTTATTTAAATAATAATATTAAATTTTATTATTTTTTATTTTATTAATAACATTAATAATTAACATGTATTTTTTTCATTTAAAGATTAAACATATAAAACGTCTCTTTTTTTATCAATAGAATTTATTAAAAGAAAAAAAAGGAATGATATTTCAAAAAGTGAGAAATTAAAATCGTTGATAAAAAAAGACTATTGTTACTGGTGATATTAATAATATATTTAACAGTAAATAAAAATTTACAATATTTGATTTTATGTACAACATGCAACTCCTGTTGCTCCCATCGGTTCAAGATGTTTTTGTTTTGCTAAAAAAAAAATAAAAATTTCATCCCATTATCCTCTTATATCCCTATACTCTCTAAATAACATAAAAAATGTTAAATATAATTTTAAAAATTATATCATTAATAAAAAAAATAATTTTGTTATTAATTAAGGAAAAATAATAATAGCGTTCCTAAGTTTTAGCCTAACTAACACTTGAGAAGTTCAGTTTCCAAAAACCAATTTCGAAGTTCCTAAATTTTAATTTCGTAAACAAATACGTCATTCCTTCCAAAATTACATAATTTTTTCGTTAGTCTTAGCCATTTAAGTTAGTCAAATGATAGAAAAAAAATTAAATTCCAAAAAACACCCTAAGTGCAACCAACTCCACCTACCTCATACAAACCCTAGCCTTCTTCATTCTTGGCAAGCATTGCCAACTCGTTTGGGTTTTATCATCATTTCAAAAATGTTGCAAAGGTGATTCTAGTTTACTGTTGTTTAAAGCTTTTACGGTTGCTTCACTTTTCATCAGTTCTGCTGCTTCAACCTCTTTTGATGCATTTAAAGTTTTCTACACCTACAATGTATTGATTGGTAAATGCACAAATTTATATGTATAAGAGGATGCAAAATGAAGGGATCGAAGGAGATGGGATTGGGATTGTAGAGTTAATTCAGGTTTGTGGTTCTATTGTAGATTCAAGATTGAATCTTTAAGTACATGGGGTATATGATTAGGTGAGGAATAGGCATGGATGATGTCCTCCTTCATACTAGCCATGGATATGCATGCTAAGGATGGGCAATTAGAGCTTGCTTCACTTGTCTTTTAAGAAGATGAAATGTAAGAGTGTGGTTTCTTGTGAAATGTAAGAGTGTGGTTTCTTGGAGAGCATTAATTTTTGGCTTCGCTCAAAATGCAAATGGTTTTGCAGAGAAGGCAAACGCATTGTTGGTTGAGATGCAGAGTTTTGGATTTACACTAGATTCTATTTCTCTTATACAAACAATTTCATAAATTTTACTTGATTATTGATGAGATTGGTAAATGATATGTCTGGCAGTTTCTTTTTATTTTTAATTTAATTTGTAAACATTTTTAGTTGGATTAAGAGAAATGGGGAGAGAAAGAAGAACCACCAAGCACATACATATCAGTTTAATGGTCAAAAGTGGGTATTTTGGATGGCAGGACGTATTTATTGACGGAATTAAAATTTAGAGACCTCGAAATTGGTCTTTGAAAATTGAGATCCTCAAATGTTAATTAGACCAAAATTTAGGGATCCAATTATTATTTTCCCATTAATTAATTATAGAAAATAGCTAAAAAAAATTTAATTTAATTTGACATTAACCTCAATTATTTTAATGTGCAATATTTATATGATAAATGAGTAAACAATATTGGTGGAATATATTTCTCAAATTCATAGATAGATATAGATAAGATCACGAATAAATTTGTTTTTTCAAATTGAAGTCTCAATTTTATATCAAATTGAAGTTCTCAATGTTATATATATATATTATATATATTATATATATATATATATATATATATTTAAAAATATAATTTAACAAAGAAAAGAAAAAGAAAACTCAACCATTTTATTTAGAAAAGAATTTTCCATTGAACATGATAATCAGCATATCAGGAGCATATAAGCACATGAAAAACACTTCAACACATTCACCGTAAATCCGAATCAACAATTTTTGAATAATATCACCATTTTTTATAAACCAATTTAACATAATTTGCAGTACAAAAATGACAGCTTTAATTTTAACATGAATGTTGAAATAACAAGCACAACCTTTGCATATTTGCATTTAATTAGAATTAACAGAAAGGAAATCCCACATAATATGAAAAAATATAAAGAATTGAAAAAAAATGGAAAAGAAAAAAAGAACAAATATATTTTCTCAAAAAAAAAAAAAAAAGAACAAATATAGGATGGGTTAGATAAAAAAAATAACAAAATTAAAAGATACTTGCTTATATCTCAACTGGCATGCAAGAAACCAAACCTAAAAGCATAACCAATGTAAACCTACTGCACATACATCCCAAGCAAGAGAAAACAAAAATATATATATTTTGTACTACTCCCAAAATCATTAATAAATTGTAATTGTGACATCCCAGGTTTGGGGCACAACACCTTAGGCGAATCCCACATCGGCTACGCACAAGGTGGAAGTCCTATACATAAAGGGTGGCAACCTTGTCGGCTACGGCACAAGCTGGAAGCCTAACAGTAAAGCGGGGCAACCTTGAACATTGGTAGACGCTGTTTTTGGGCTTCGGCAGAGTGGAGGTTTTTCCCTTGGCCAGAAAAACCACCATTAAACCCATTATATGTCCGTGGCTAATTTCGTGTATTATAGAAATATGGCCACCAGAGCGGTTTTGTTACAATAGTCGTTAATAAAACCAATCCCCTGCTGGTGAAAATTCCATATGCGTATGCCTATGTACTTAAAATTTTTTGGTTAGTCTATTGAGGACTAAAAGATACCGCCCAAGCTTACTATATCAGTAACCCTCCCTGAGAAAACCTTGAAGTTACGGTGGGCATAAGAACTAAAGCATCGTGCGTAGCTCAGATCATTTTTCCCGCAGGGAATCGTCTTGGGTAACCAATTATGTTCGCCCCTTAAAGAGCCCCCGCGTAAAGTTACGGGGTGGTATTGTTGACATTCCCAGGTTTGGGGGCAGATCAGGCACAAAACCCAGGATTTCAGGGGCGGGTAACCTGCCCTAAGACCAAACATCAGTGCCATTAACTACACCCCGAATCCAGCAATTGGTGGAAAGTACAATCCAATTATTATAACTAAACCAATTTTAAATACCCCCACCCAGAAATCCGATTTTGTCAACCTTTATGGATTAACTCAGCGCACTAACTGACGTTTTTACGAACCACCCGCCGGCTTGTATTAATCCTAGGAATTCATTCAAAAAAGCTAAGAAAACAAGTGTAAAAAAGTGGAAGGGTTTTAATCCCAAGCTACATGAGGACCTAGTCAAAACAATGACAAAAATCAGTACAAATAATAATGTTCCGAAAGCGGTGCGGTTGGTATACATGGGCTCTAACAAAACAAGCCGGACAATTACTAGATTTAATTCATTAACTTACATATTAATGGAACCATTTGAATGTCTTGGACATGTCTTTACCAACATTTTTTTTTCCAAGAACCAAGATTGCAAGAATTAACAATCAAACATTCATTGGCTTTCTTATCAGAGCCTGCACCAAAGCCATATGGAATTCTTCTACTATTTGACTCCCCACACCCCTGTTGCCGAACCAAGGAATCTGCCGGACAGATTAGAGTATAGAAGTGACAACAAAAACTATTCTCAGCGAGTTGAGGATACGTCTAGGAAGTTAAATCCTAAGTGTGATTAACAACCCGAAGCCATAATTGCCAGTATAGTTTAAAACTAGTTGAAGCGTATTGTGAAGCCCGAGTTTAGAGGACAATAACACCATACACTCGAACAAAGAAAACCTGTATCATTCAATTGGGGGCACAACACCTTAGGCGAATCCGCATCAAGATCACGAGAGTTGTACATACAGATTACACAAGAG